CAAGGAAGCAGATCCTTTTGAATGGTAAGTGCTCAGCCGCGTTTGTGCGTATATATACATGTATCCCCACCTATATATATACCTCTATATATCTATCAATTTATCTATCTACCTATGCATATATATATATCTATATATATGTTTGTCTATTTGGTTGGGTGTCTATCTGTCTATTAATACATTTGTCTATCTACACGTAATTATTAACTTTTGGCGTAGAGAACCTTAATGATTCGTCCAACTTCAGGTGTATCGACATCTTCGAGGCCGCGGCAGACTTACTGAAAGAAAGCAAATCACAAATAAACACTTCACAAATATCAGAGGGTCGCAGTCAAAAGAAACGGGCCCGACCCACGGCCTCCAGCCAGCAAGGGGTGATAGAGATAAAGGAGAAACACGCACCACCAACTGTAAAGATACTGCGGCAAGCAGTTACAAAGGAGAAACACGCACCACCAACTCTAGAGGTTCTGCGGCAAGCACTTGCAAACGTCAGCGTATTCGACATCAGCGAATTAACCCCCCAGGAAGCAAACAAGAACAGAAAACGTATACACCGCATCACCTCCCATGCGCACACAAAAGCACTGGATTTGAGAGAGAAATTGAATAAGGAAGCGGTGGAATCCCCTAGTGATAGGTGGACTCTTTGCATTACTTCAAGTCATCCAGACCACCATTTATCTCTATATGTCTCCCGAAAGGGAAAGCCGGGAATACAAAAGCATTTGTGTTGTGTTCGAAAGGAATTTGACGCTGCAATGGCAGCCGCTGGTGTGTTGCTGCTTCGTGATCCTTCGTTGGCTTTCATCAACAGTGTAAGTCCTGCTTTTCTGTGCAGTTTGGAGAGGTGTGGAATCCCAGTGGAAATATGAAGGCCATTGGACCTTTGCAGTTTGCAAATCCGAAATCTGTGGCTAAAGTGTAAACGCGTGCAGCGCTGGGTATTTCAAGAAAAGTAAAAGTTTATATCAAGTAGTTCATAGATTTAGACCCAACAAAGCCTGACGCTAAGAGTCCAGATGCATCCATCAACTACTTCGCACTTGCATATGCGACCAGCTCGCTGTAGCTAGATGACTTCCTGCAGCTAGCTAGCTAGCTAGCTAGCTAGCTATCTGCCTAGCTAGCTGGCTAGCCACGGGACACTGAACGCACCAGATATGCGGCGATGCAGCAGTTCTGCAATGTGCGTGCCTCGGATATGAGGGAATTCAAGTTCCGTGTTCACTGTCTTTTGCAGGAAGCGAGCTTCTAAAAAGAAAACCCTAACCCCAACAAAGATGGTAAGCAAGAAAGCACGCGGAAACAGACGATATTTCACTCCTCTCTTCAACAGCCACGTTATGCTGAGCAAGGCGTGTATGAGGCATCTACTGATCTCTATCAGATGAAAATCAATCAAATCAGAGAGTGCAGCTTCCAGTGTTTCAAACAAAACATTTGCATTCGCTGCGTTAACACGAACTCAGAGCTCCAAGAAGAAGTGGGCGAAGAACCTTCACTGCAGATACGCTGAGAGAAACGACAGTGAAACGCATATACACGTTTCGGTCTGTTGCTCGATATATTTCAGGAAACGCCAAAGAAACTGCACAAATTTGCAAAATTTGAGAAATAGTTTTCACATACATTCAAGTACAAAGATATTCTAGAAGAAAATTATGAGTGAATTCAATTGTATAAATACACCGTTCGCTGGCACCCCATGCACGCTGGAGGGGCCACAAGCATGGATCCAAGGTATATGAGATATCAGCAGCTTGAAAAAGAAGTTCATATGAAAGCAAAACAACTTATAGAAACAATACAGTTGAGCAGTTGGCAAGCGCTTGCAGATACAATATGCGGGGCTAGCTAAGGAAAAGGAAAAGAAGCAGCGCGTGTGCAAGTAGAGAAACTTCAGGTTTCTCAACGAATTCTGTCGTTGAAGCAGGTTTCTGAAACAGGATAAATAAATAGGAGGTTTACGGCAACAATACAAGTGAAATTATCACACTGAAGAATTATAAATTAATAAAGTTTTCTCGCATCGATGCAACTGCTGCATTCACAGCGAGTTGTATGAAACCAACTTGTTGAGTCGAGGAAGCTGAAACACAGAAACACGGCCGAGATCATACTCAATGTTTATAAAGTATTTCATGTATCCTTCGCTAACTGAATTATTTTTTGTATATAATAGCATAACTGCTGTAAAATATATTTATAATGCGTCTAGAAACGGTTTAAATGAGGGTTTTGTCAATGCATTTGAGCTCGCAGCCCCGTTCCTTGCATGCGTATTTTTTTGTGTTTTCTATGTGATGTTTCTGCTGAAAGCGCTGAAAACAGTGAAATTTTAGTTGTTTAATGCGAATACGCAAACAAATAAATGATAGTTCTGTTGCAGTTTCTCTACAGATGCCCCCTTCTCTCGTTTCGCTTGTGTTGTCGTTCGCAGTGCAGTTGAAACAAAGTTGAGGCAACAAGATGTGATTGTTGTTTGTTTTTCTTTATTTTAATGTTTTTTTATTATATTTTTATTCTTTTATCCTTTTGGTTTTCGCTGATGTGTTTAAACAATGCCATTTCCTGCTGCAAAGCTCTTCAGTGTTGCTCTGCGTCAGCTCTCTAAGCCTATGGCTGCTTACCTACAGAACTCAGCACAAGGAAACCCGTATTTCAAGCTAGCATGTGTTTCTATGGCGACGCATTACCACAATTTAGAACAAAAAATAATTAATAGATTCTATGATAAAGACGAAAAACTACAATTTATTCCAAAATTAAATGAAGAAAAAGCCGTCAAGCTCGGTGCAACCATCATCGGCGAGGCTTTCATCTTTGGTGTTGCAGGTAAAAACGAATAAAAACTAAAAAATAAAAACATCATCATTCAATAAAACGATCCACAGATTTAGAAAAATAACAAACACAATTAAATCAATTAATCAATTAATTAATTAATTAATTCATCTATTAACTCTGAGGTTGCATACAAGAAACTGCAACCACAAATTCTATAAAGTAATCAATGCATTTTAAAAGATAACAAAGAAGATATAAATAGTTGATCGAGTAATAAACTAAATGATTAATTAATTAATTAATATTTTATTGTTTATCGTTTGGCTGTTAGCGAAGAAACATATCAACTGGTTTAGTTTCAGGACCTGAAGTGATACGCATATATGTGAAATCTATGAAAATATGTTTTATTGTTCTATTTGTTGAATTTCTTATATTTTACTTTTTTATTTGTTTTATTTGTTGTATATTTCATTGTTTTTCTTTTTCAATTGCTGCAGCTTGTGCCCTGGTGATGGAGTACCGCCGCAGCACACTAAAAGAAGCTGCAAAAGAAAACCAACTACAGAGCCGCCTCATGACACTGGAGGTGAAAACAACGAAAATAAAATAAAAATAAATACAAAATTAAAAATATAATGCAATATTATTTAATATAATACTTTTTCGTGTTGTTTTATCAGTTGCCTTTTGCTCATGCTTTCGCTTATTTGTTGTTTTCTTGCTATGCTACCTTCGTTTCATTTATTTTCTCGTTTATGGATTTTATTTCGTTCTTTGTTTTATTCATTTATTCACTATTTTATCTTTATTCATCTTATTTATTTATTTATTTATTTATTTATTTATTTATTTATTTATTTATTTATTTGTTTTGTTTAAAGGCGCAAATAATACAATTGCAACAAGAAAACGACAGAATATTAAAAAGTGTATTCCCGCATGAGAAACACATCAGATCTACCATAGACATCAACTATCAAGCAGAAGGTAAAATAAATTTATTTCTTTTTATTAAATTAATTAATTAATACATTTATTTTTTTAAATATGTAATTAAATAAGTAAATTTCATTAATAAATTCATCTTCTTTGTTTGAATATGTATATATATATATATATATATATATATATATATATATATATA